AAGTGTTCTGGAATTCTCATTCTTCACAACGTTATCCATAATTTGTTATGATCCACACAGTCGGATGTCTTTGTATAATCAATAAAACACAGGTAAACATCTTTCTGATATTCTCTGTTTTCAGACAGGCTCCATCTGACATCAGTAATGATATCCCGGGTTCCACATCCTCTTCTGAATCCGGCTTGAATTTCTGGCAGTTCCCTGTTGATATACTGCTGCAGCCGCTTTTGATTGACCTTCAGCAAAATTTTAATTGCATGTGATAGTAATGATGCTGTTCATTTGCGTGCTAGAGGGTGGGAAAATAATCTCAGAAAAATTCAGGTGCCTTCCACTTCAGTGAAATTTCTAGGAGTCCAGTGGTGTGGGGCACCTCAAGATAGTCCTTCTACAGTGAAGGATAAGATGTCACATCTGGCCCCTACTACAACTAAGGAGGAGGCACAATGCCAACTGGGCTTCTTTGGAATTTGGAGGCAACATATCCATCATTTGGGTGTGCTACTTTGGCCTATTTATCAAGTGACTCAAAAAGCTGCTAGTTTTGAGTGGCACCCAGAACAAGAGAAGGCTCTACAACAGGGGCAAGCCATATGAACAGGTGGGCCATATGATCCAGCTGATCCAACGATGCTTGAAGTGTCAGTGGCACGTACAGATGCTACTGGAGTCTTTGGCAGGCCCCTAATGGTGAATCACTTTGCAGACCCTCACGATTTTGGAGTAAAGCCCTGCCATCCTCTGCAGATAACTACTCTCCTTTTGAGGAACAGCTTTTGGCTTGTTACTGGGCCTTAGTAGAGACTGAATGCTTAATCATGGGTCACCAAGTTTCCATGCAGCCTGAGCTGCCCACCATGAACTGGGTGTTGTATGACCCACGGAGTCAGAAAGTCGGATGTGCACAGCAGCACTCCATCATTAAATGAGATCACGCCCGAGCAGGACCTGAAGGCACAATTAAGTTGCATGAGGAAGTGGTCCAATTATCCACAGTCTCTACTCCTATCACATTACCTGTCCTCTCCCAGTCTGCTCATATGGCCTCATGGGGAGTTCCTTATGATCAGATGACTGAGAAAGAGGAAACTCGTGTCTGGTTTACAGATGGTTCTCATCAATATGCAAGTCCATTCGAAAGTGGACAGTGGCAGCACTGCAGCTGCTCCCTGAAGGACAGTAGTGAAGGGAAATCCTCCCAAGAGCAGAATTTGGAGCAGTGCACCTGGTTGTTCACTTTGCTTGGAAGGAGAAATGGGCAGATGTATGACTGTATACTGACTCACGGGCTGTAGCCAATAGTTTGTCTGGATAGTCATGGACTTGGAAGGAACAGGATTGGAAAATTGGAGACGAGGTATAGGGAAGAGGTATGTGGACAGACCTCTCTGAATGGGCCAAAGAAGTGAAGGTACTTTGTTTCATGTGAATGCTCACCAAAGGGTGACTTCAGCAGAAGGAGACTTTAACAATCAAGTTGATAGGATGACGTGGTTTGTGGAAACCAGTCATCCTGCTCCCCCAGCCACTCCTATCTTTGCCCAATAGACTCATGAATAAAGTGGCCATGGTGGCAGGGATAGAGGTTATACATGGGCTCAGCAAGAGAGACTTCCATTTACCAAGGCCATCTTGGTTATAACCACTGCTGAGTGCCCAATCTGCCAGCAGCAGAGACCAACACTGAGTCACCAATATGGCACTAATCCCAGGAACAATCAGCCAGTAGCCTGGTGGCAGGTTGATTACACTGGACCACTTAATGATGTGAAGGGCAGCATTTCACTCTTATTGGGATAGACACTTACTCTAGATATGAATTGCTGTCCTTGCACACAATGCTTCTGCCAAAACTACCATCCATGGACTGAACTCACAGAATGCTTTATCCACTATCAAGGTAACTCACACAGAAACGCCTTGGATCAAGGGACCACTTCACAGCAAGTTAAGTACAGCAATGGGCCATGCTCGCTGAATTCACTGGCCTTACCATTTTCCGTACCATCCTGAAGCAGCTGGCTTGATAGAACAATGGAATGGCCTTCTACAGACACAATAATGGCACCAGCTAGGTAGCAACACTTAGCAGGGTTGTGGCCATGTTCACCCATGAGGATGAATATGCTCTAAACCAGAGTCTAATATATGTTGCTGTTTATCCCATATCCTGGATTCACTGTCCCAGGAATTGAAGGGTGGAGACAGAGGTGGCAGCACTTGCTATTACCCCAGTGATCCACTTGTAAAATTTTTGCTTCATGTTCCCGCGATCCTATGCTCTGAGGGTCTAGAGGTCTTAGTTCCAAAGACAGAAATGCTCCCAGCTGGAGACACAATACGGATGCCATGAAAATGGAAGCTAAAAATGCCTCCTGGCCACTACTGGCTCCTCATGTCTCTGGATCAACAGGTAAAGAAGAGAGTTACCATATGGCTGGTGTAAATGATCCTGACTACCAAGGTGAAATCAGATTGATGTTGCATTAAAAACAAAAAAAAAACAAACTTGTCACCACAGAGTCAATTCTGACTCATAGAGACCCCACAGGACAGAGCAGAACTGCCCCATAGGGTTTCTAAGGAGTGGCCGGTGGATTTGAACTGCCAACCTTTTGGTCAGCAGCCAATCTCTTAACCACTGTGCCACCAGGGCTCCTAATGTTGCATACTGAAGGTAAAAAGAGTGTATCTGGAATACAGGCAATCCCTTAGGATGTCTCTTAGCATTACCATGCCATATGATTAATGTCAATAGAACACTATAGCAGCACAATTCTGACATGACTACTAATGCCCTGAACCTTCAGGAACTGAAGTTTGAGTCACCCCAGCAGGCACAAAACCATGACCAGCTGACGTGTTTGCTTAGGGCAAAGAAAATACAGAATGTGTGGTGGAAAAAGGCTATTCTAAATACCAGTTATACCCATGTGACCAGCTACAGAAACGAGGGCTGCAATTGTTGTAAGTATTTCTTATAAGTATTTTTGTTTTCTTCATTTATAAAATGTAAGATGTTAACAGGGCTAGTGTTTTTTCAGTTGCACACATGCTAGGTTCTATCATGTTAGGCGCAAGCATGACTTTGTAATTATTTAAAAACTGTGTATGGTGTAAGGAAATGTGTACTAGTACCAAGTTGTCAAGGGGTGGAGCGTGATGGAGAAGGTTGTGTGTCAACTTGGCTAGGCCATGATTCTCAGCAGTTTGGCAATTATGTAATGATGCAGTTTGGCACTTATGTAATGATGTAATTTGGCAGTTATGTAATGATGTAGTCATTTTCCATGATGTGATCTGATGTAATCAGCCAATCAGTTGTAAGGGGAGTTTCCTCAGGGGTGTGGCCTGCATCCAATATATACATATGGATGTTCTGGCAAAACTTGCTTCCTTGCTCTGGATCCTGCATCTGGTTCATAATCATCTGACCTCCAGTTCTTGGGACTTGAGCCAGTTGCCTGCCATACTGCCTGCTGACCTTGGATTCATCAGCCTCTGCAGCCTGTGAGCCAGCAGCTTGCTGGGTGACCTGCCAATCTTGGGTTCCTCAGCCCCTGCAGCTACATGAGTCAGGAAAAGCCTCCAACCTGATGTCTGACCCATGGACTTAGGACTTGCCAGCCTCTACAACCACATCAGCCATTTCCTTGAGATAAACCTCTCTCTCTATTTCTCTTTATATATGTATATACATATTTGCTTCACCGGTCTTGCTTCTCTAGAGAACCCGCCTAAGACAGCCATTATGTCAAACTGTTAATGTCATTAATTAGACCAAAAGTAAATGAAAGCTAAGTTCCCAAAAACTACATGCGACAAAGGCATGAACAGACAATTTACATATGAGAATATATAACCGCTAAACCAATAAAGGAAGCCCTGGTGGTGCAATGGTTAAGAGTTTGGCTGCTAAACAAAAGGTCAGCAGTTCAAATCC